GAAATTTTGAATGCGAGTCAACAAACATGATGACATGGCCTTTGACCTGTGACCCATATGGAAAGGGTGATATTTGACACTTTCTGCCTCCTTTCGCAGTTTACGTTCCCATCCTTTTATTCCCTGGATCCCTTCCATTTCCCATGAACTCATTAGGCTGGTGTATTTGGACTTATCCATGGAAGTTCGCCATCTCCACAGTGTTTCTTCTCATCAGGTTCATCACATCACTATGTCCTTGGCTACACCACTTTGGCTTCCTTTTTAAAGAGATCATTCAGGCATGACCTGGTTGTATCTTCCTCTAGAGGATATTGGTTCTCTCCTGTGGCAATTTTACACGTCATTTCACCTTTGACTAGAGTAAGTCTTATCACTTCATTTCATTTATGTTTTTATTTTAGAAACTAGTTTTAACCACTGATAATGGTATCCCAATGTTGCCTGGTCTGGTATGCTTTACCTCAAACCTGCACTATAATGCTTACTGCAGAGATGGGGTGTTTCTGGAAGACCACTGTATATATACATGTGTGTGTATGCTAGATATCAGGGATTTCTGTCCATCACTGCCGATCCTCTGATTGATTAAATTGGGGCCGGTCTGCTTTTCAAAATAGGGAATCATAAACACTCATTGCACTTTCTCTAGTGTTATGTTCCTCTGGACTGCCCAACACATTTACTGGGAGTCCTTACTACTTCCCAGTCGCTGTGGTGGTGGACTGTGGAGGCTTTCTCTTAAGTGAGTTTAGAAATGTACTTTACCATACATACTCATGATTATCCACTCAGTGAGAAGAGGGCAAAGCAGGTTTTCCTCCTTCCATTTCCCCTGGATGCCTTTTCCCAGGTGGACAAATGTCAGCTGGAGAGTGTCTGGCCTATGTGGGATCCTCCTCGTGATGCCAAGTTGAGGATGACAATGCTTTGTTCCTAGGTTGTGTGAAGCAGATGCTTCTCCTCTCAATAATTTCAGTGGCTGGAGGTTCTTTTCCTGCTCCTACTGTTGAGTCTGGGAGACTGTAACTGGATATACAAGCTTTGTTCCTACAGTTGGCCGATCGTTCCGTCTCCTCTTAATTCTGGATGCAGGATGTCTCTTCCATGCACTTATGGTTGAGTGAGTTTAATTTTGCCCATAATACAGAGCTATTACTCTGTTTTTGCAGTTGAGTTGAGGCAACGCCATGGCCCCATAATGCCCCATGCACTTATGGTTGAGTGAGTTTAATTTTGCCCATAATACCTGTTAGAGCTATTACTCTGTTTTTGCAGTTGACTTGAGGCAACACCATGGCCCCATAATGCCCCATACACTTATGGTTGAGTGAGTTTAATTTTGCCCATAATACCTGTTAGAGCTATTACTCTGTTTTTGCAGTTGAGTTGAGGCAACGCCATGGCCCCATAATGCCCCATGCACTTATGGTTGAGTGAGTTTAATTTTGCCCATAATACCTGTTAGAGCTATTACTCTGTTTTTGAGTTGAGGCAATGCCATGACCCCATAATGCCAGGTTCAGTTTGTTGTACTTCTTGCTCCTATGGTTGTTTTGGTGGTTTGCCTGGTTTTGACTGAAAGCTCACTTCCTTTTTGTAATTCTTTTTGCTTGCTGTATGGCACTTTTTTTACTTATGGTTATGGTTGATGGATACATTTAAAATATGGTCAACATGCTCTAGCCACAATATTGTTGTTACAATTTTTTTTCATCCTCCAACTTCTAATCGTGAGGATGAGTTATGGAACATTGCATGTCTGGTTGAGGTTGTGTATGTACCTATCTAATTCTGTTTATATGTTGCTATAGCTTGCATCTTTCAGAACAGATTATGCTTGTACAAGTATTTTCCTTTTCCACCCATTTGATATTTACTACTTCCTGGGCAAAGAACATACCTGTTTCAGAAGTAATGCAGTACCCCACAGGTGTGTTTCATTTTCATCTCTGAACACACCCATTCATTCTGAGCAGTTGCTTTCCATATGGTTTGATATTTATGTGCTTCCACCGGCCCCCTCCACCATTGCAATGTGGGGTTTTAGCTTTGTGTGAGATAAGGTAAGATCATATCAGAAGTTAACATTTTTCTTACACTGAAAATGTTTTTCCAATATGTACTTAACCCCCTTTCACACACTTCCCAACCTTCCTCCCTATTGCTGGTGTTCTCCTTTTGGAGCCTGCTAATTCTCAAAAGGGAGGATCAAGTGAGAATAGCAGAGGGAGCTAGCTCTGCCATTATAGGTAGTGCAATACTATTTGTGGAGAGCAGTCACATCATATGTACATGTTCAGAAATGGCACAGAATTGATGGGTATATAGACTGGTGCATTGATCATGAAAATTTTCTGAGGAATGCTTAGAGGGCAAATGAACTTCGAGATAGCTTCATGTGACTTGAGGTAGGACTATATTGGAAATACATTTTCAGTGTAAGAAAAATGTTAACTTTTTATGGTGGTTACGAGGTTGGTCAAATCAACCAAACCCATACAGAGATACAATAGTGAAAATAACAGATAAAATATAAAATTGTTTCTAAAAAATGTTTGATAATTATCTGGAGGTTATAAAGATTTCACATGTGAAATTTGACAATTTTGTGGTGCATGAAAGTATTTTTAATCTTATAATCAAAATTACTTTGCTTGTTGGGTAGTCAACATTTGAAAAGAAAAAATGCACGAGCAAATCATTACTTAAAAAATCTTCAAACTTAATAGAAAAATCTGATATTTTGTGTATAAAAGCTTTGTAATGTTTACTGATAATATGCAAAAGTTTGTGAAGATATTCATACTTTATTAAAATTTATAGTATGAAAACTAACAAGCATAAAATGGCTATGAGGTAGGCCCCGTGGACCGAGCCTGTAGAGTGAGAGTTAATGTTGTGTATACTCTCTCTTAAGAAATATACAGACTTAAAAAACGTGTATCACATAATCAGTTTAAGCTAACATTATCACTATTATATCAATATTTTAAGAATGCACAAAAGTAGTCAAAATACAAGTCATAGAAATAGCTTATGCTAACATTTTAACTTCAATACAAGACCATTATAAAGAAGACCCCATATTTCGATTGTTATTATCTTTACAACTACTATTCTCTGAGGAATAAAATTTTATTAGAAACATATTAAACATCATGTTTTATTCAAGAAAGTTCAAATGTGTTAGAGGATATCGCAAAAACCATACTATACTGGTATGAATAAAATTTTTATCAATGTGCAGGATAATGCAAGAATTGATGAACCAAATCAGAATAGATAAAGCTTACATTAGCTTCATATAGAAATAAGACTAGATATGCTGAACTAAAATGAAGAAAAGCATATTGAACATCTTTTATGATGGTTTTGAAACACTTTTATAAAATTGAAGATTCTAAATGTTTCTCTGGTAAAATTTAGTTCCTCTAGGACATATGGTTTTTAAGATACAACTTTTAATTTTTTTTTCTTTTTTAGTTCTTCTTTACACACTATTTTTCAAGTAGTGAAAAAAGATTTTATAAAAAAAAGTATATCACAAAATGAGTTCAATATGGCCTCTAATACATACAAACACACAAAACTTCCAAAAAAGTATAAAACATTCATTTGTTCATATCATAATATAAACTTCAACATTTTCAGTATACTTAATTTGTCTTTTATCAATAATTTTAAATTGATAAATTTTTATTATTTTGAAATTATTGTCAACGTACGTTTTATGCTTTAATGTACACGATTGTTTCTTTTGACTCAAAAAAGTGGTTTTAGTTATGGTTTATTTCAAATATAGTTATTATTTCATTAATTTTATATTAATTTGAATTTTTTAGATTTGTTTCACAAGTTCCGTAAACTGTGTGCATTGAATTATATTGTAAATATGCTACACTTATTGTGTTATAAAGTTTGAAATAACTCATAACTGAAACAAGAGCTTATTAAACATGTCATTTATGTTGACAAGTTAAATTTCTAAGGAGAACATTACAAGTTAAACTCTTATTTCAATTTTATGCAGTTTAAAATTGGAGTGCGACTTGTTTATTTCAAACACAGTTTTTTATGGGAAGGAATTTTTTCAAAGCTATTAATAACTGTATAGTTTACAGGCTAATGTAATTTATGGTTCTACAAAAAAAAACGCTTTAGATGCCCTTAAAGAAGTTCCAGTAATATGTTGTTAATTATGTACATGGTGTTTTCAGATAGAAACTTATTTCCTGACAAGTATTAGAGAATTAGACACACCAATAACAGCAGATTCATTCAGGATTTAAGGAGAGTGATTTGGGTTTGATAACCTGATTGAGTTTTCCTAGTATGAAGAATAATGAGACTGGAGAAGTTTAACAAAACAATTTTTATTATGAAAAAACAAGATGCAACATATGTACTTGCACACACAAAAAGACAATAGCCTCTACTGGATTGTAATACGCTCCACAGCTTTCTTTCTCTCAGGATATAATTCTGTTAAACTAAAAACAATGTTCTGAATGTATGTCTTTACTTGCTAGTCTCCAGGTAGAATCTAAACTAAAAATATGCAATTAGATTCAACAGGTAACCTCAATTTCTTTGTTAACTCAACATCACCTTGTGAACCTTGTACTCTCACAGCATTGGTTAACTGTAACATTCAGACGACATCAACTCGACCAACAAAGGATATAACAGTTGATAATCATTTCAACCCAGATGCTCTATGTTGCTGCAATATCTTCTTGGGTAGAATAGACAAAGAAACAAAGAATTTAGAACGAGGCAATCTCACTGAATTTCTGAACCACTGCATACAAACTAGATAAAGATTTTTTAAATTTCCTATAACTAAAGCAGATAAAAAACATATTCCTACATATCACACTTATAAACATGTATGTTTATAGCAAGGTTCTTCAGTAAATACTAAATAGTAGTTATATCATATAGATGATGTTAGAAAAATGCTACTTTAGTCACTAATATATCTGTGTTCCTGACAGGCTGGTGTAACACACGTGATACTGGCTGTCAGTTACAGAGCAGAGTTACTAGAGAAGGAAATTAAAGCTGAAGAAGTACAGGTGAGCTTTTTGCAGATAGCTGTAATCAAACTATGTATAAGCACATTAGTTTCAGTGACCATGATCATTTGTAAGTAATGAAAATAATGTATTTTGTGTCCAGTTTATGAATTAGGTTTCCAAAAGATACTTTAGGCTAAACCAGAAAATAATTACCTTTAATGATACCAAATTATGTTAGCCTGTCATTATTTTAGCTATTTTATTATGTTTTTAATTCATTGGTTGGTGCATATCTTATCACTTATTAGTGTTCATTATTTGTAGTACAAATAGCACCTCACTTCCCCTAATAGAGAAAAATGAAACTACAAATAACATAAATCATTCATAATGATTAAGCTGTACTTGTTTGGTCACTCAAACATATCTATTTAAATTTACACTTGATCATTTAAATATTTGAATAAGTCACATGAACTACAAGAGAATTAGCATCCTTAGTATCTTTGTTAGTTGGAGGTGAGGGGCACTATGACCCATTCTAGATTGTGTAATGTAAATTAACTTTATGCTGTGTATGGAAATATTTTAAACTCAACAAATAAGGTCAATTATTAATTAATATTTAAGAAACTTAACTACTTGTGTTTAATGCCATTTTCAAGCAATTACAAGATTTTAGATATTAGATAAACTTTCAGTGAAAACAAGCAGTATATAGATGAAGCTGTAAATAAAAGAAAAGAAGTAATTACTAGGATTGTTTATAAAATAGATCCAGTAACTTCAAACTTGTAGCTTTTTCATTGATAATATTTTACAATTGTTATTCAGTTCTTGACATATCATATGGCAAAGTTGTTGGAAAAGCAGTGGCATTTTATGATTAACATCAAGTACAACAGTAAATACAAATGCCATTGTGATTTTAAAAAGCTCATAAAATTTACTTTAACATGAAACATAAACTGTCTCTTATAACATTTATTTCAAACAATCATATTAGTCTGTTTACGTGATTTTGCTATGCACATATACATTGCTTGAAGAAAGACCATGAAAAAGTAGGTAGGTAACATTAAAAATGTAATTTCCATTATTAAGTTCTAATACATATTTTTAATATTTTGTATAGACTGATGAAAATATTAATAATTCTCTGTTCAATAGGTTTTACACTGTTTTGGTTTAATTAATGAAACATTTGTTTTTAACAAAATGTAATTCAAAACCTGAATTAATACACATTCTTTGAGTGACATGTAATTTTGTTTTGGATTATAGTGTGTCTTCTCTGTTCAATAGCTTTTACACTGTTTTAGTTTAATTAATGAAACATTTGTTTTTAACAAAATGTAATTCAAAACCTGAATTAATACACATTCTTTGAGTGACATGTAATTTTGTTTTGGATTATAGTGTGTCTTCTCTGTTCAATAGCTTTTACACTGTTTTAAAGACACACTACAATCCAAAACAAAATTACATGTCACTCAAAGAATGTGTATTAATTCAGGTTTTGAATTACATTTTGTTAAAAACAAATGTTTCATTAATTAAACCAGCATTCGAGGATACATTGAAGTTTCTTACTTTAGATTTACAGTAGTTTGACATATTTTAGATACTTCTTCATACAGTGCAAACTGAAAATATAAGTTCAGGTTCATGTTATTTGAAAATAAAGAACATCAATATTTAAAAGCAAACTTCGTAGGAGTCTTGTATTATTTTGCTAATATTAAGCTATACAACCTATTTTTTTCTTACAAGTATCATTTGATTTTAACTTTGTTAAAATTGAATATCATATGAATAAAACATAAGAGAGTTTAATTTGAAAGCCTGCCTATAATTTTGTGGTTTCATTAAAAATATATAATCAATATAAAAACTTAATCTTAACTTTTCATTTTTTACCTTGGTGAGGACAGTTGCCTTTTACCCCACTCCTATATTACATCTTTAAGTGGATGAATTTCTTCAGAATGTATAACTGTATTTTTGTGGTTTTGTTTTGATTAATCATTTAAAGTGGCATTAGTTTGCTGTGGATCTGATGTCCTAATTTCAAGGTCTGCTCTTGCATTACCCATAGCCAATACAGCATTTGGTTAAAACAGCATGAGCTTTTGCTTTTGTTGCTTCAGAAGTGCCTCACCTCTCTACAAAACAAATAGCTGATTCCTCACTCCAATTTTCAAAATATTTTTTTCCATGTACCAAACCTTTAAACAAAATTTCCACTTCTACAACTAATAATGTGTACCAGACTATGATGTAATAAGCATTAAACTATAGCCCTCCATCAATAGAAGAGTAAGCATCCTACATGTGCAGTACTCCATTTGAGTACTTTGTATATACCAAAAAGCTCATTATTTTCCTCATCATTGCAGTATTCAGTTCTGTTCTTTTCTTCATTATGAATTACAGAATTTTTGTACTTAGTATTTTCAGCATTTTGCTGTTGAATGTTAATGACACTCAACCCTAATTTATTTTTATACTAATGGTAGTAATGCACTAAATAATTCTTATATAATTAAATAATGCACCAAAGAACATAGAATAATAACATGCAAAAAGCAGACAATGTCCCATAACTATCACAATTTTTTTGGATTTCTAACAATGTGATAGAGCTATTACAAATTCATCCAAGCTAGCCATTGTCATTCCTGTGGGAACCAAAGCTATATTACAAGTGAAATTGACTATTCTGTGATCATAAAACAATGTAATTGAATATTTTATTTGATAGATGAAAACCTTAGATTTCTATTGGTTATAGGTAATATATAATTAAACATAAGAGAGAACTATTAACAATCCTGAAAGAGAGGGTGTGGCAGGAGGGGTCTGATTTTCTAATTGATTGCTCTGTAACCAAACAAAATTGAAGGCTATAAAAATTATGGTTTGTCTGAGCAATGACGATTTTTATAATGAGTAATTTACGTTTAATTTCATAGTTTTTGGAGGAGGGGGGTAAATTAGAGATGAGAAGATACCTAAAGAAAATGTGTCACACTAGGGTATATTCAAGATGTTTTAAGTATTGCTTTATAAAATTAAGAACTTGAAACTTATATACTATTAAAATATGGATTATTAGCTAAGATTTTATGCTATACTAATTGGTATAACATAAACAAAAAGTGGTTTAATAAAATTTTGAATATAATCCTTGTGTCATGCGTAGTGAAGGATACCTGTGGCGAGAGGGTTAATCAGTATGAAAATGACAAAGCCTAAGTACCATTGATTTACCAGACTTGCTGAGAAAAAAACAATGTAGACATACTTATAATATTGATACTTTTCATGAATTCAGTTTTGTGGATATTATTGACTATGGTTTCTTATATCCACATTTCTGAAACCTCCCAGGGTCCAGACTCTCATTCATAGGAGTTGTTTTATTTTCTTTTAATGGTAATTGAAATTACTCTGATGGTAAGCAATGTTACTGCCATTATACATCACATGCTTGGTTCTATCAGTATTTTAACATTCCCATGGGAATGAATCTTGTAGTCTGAGTGAAATTTATGATATTATGTTTAGAACAGAATGTACTCTGAGTGAAATTTACGATATTATGTTTAGAACAGAATGTTCTCTGAGTGAAATTTATGATATTATGTTTAGAACAGAATGTACTCTGAGTGAAATTTATAATATTATGTTTAGAACAGAATGTACTCTGAGTGAAATTTATGATATGCTTAGAACAGAATGTACTCTGAGTGAAATTTATGATATTATGTTTAGAACAGAATGTACTCTGAGTGAAATTTATGATATTATGTTTAGAACAGAATGTACTCTGAGTGAAATTTATGATATGTTTAGAACAGAATGTAATATAATACGCCATTTGATAGATGCAAACCTTGACTTTCTATTGGTTATAGGTAATATTTAAATAAATGTAAGAGAGAACTATTAACATATCCTGAAAGAGAGGGTGTAACAGGTGGGTGTGGCAGTAGGGTGTCTGATTTTCTATTTGATACCTCTGCACATCCAAATTAAGTGTTTTTAATTTGGTGGAGACAGACAAGATAGAAGTCATCCTGTTTTTATAATCTTTTCTGTTCATTACCTTTGTCTGGATGGGTAACAGTAATGTCAGGATTATTTCTTAAGTTCCTTTAAAGCAGTGAAGTGAACAGGGGAAATAGCAGGCATTGGTATGCAAGGGTTGTAGCTGTAGAATGAGGATAGGGCAGATGATGAGTAACACAAACACAGAAGTGAAGAGTAACAATATATTTATAGGATGTTTTGGAATATACAAATTCCATCTTTAGTAAATTGCTACTACAATTACAAAAACTAAAATTACAATTAACCACTAGAATGTTAAGCAATAGGTTATATATTACTTTAAGCAATTAGTAGAGGAGGGATTGTAAAAGAAGCATGACTACAGACTGTAACAGACAATTACAATTATTTATCCTAGTAGCTTTCTAACCCCTACACATCTGCTTGCTTATAATTTTATTACTTTACAATGCTCTTTAGACCCTATCTAAATAGGCAATTATTTACAACAGGAGAACTAGCTAAATAAATGCAAACAACCAATGAAGTTAAAATCACATGACACAGTTAGCTCAGGCTAATCTCATGAATTTTTTTATTTAATTTACATTTTGGTATCTAATGTAATACATTTCTAATTTTTACATGTTAATTACTATTGTCAAAAATATATATATAACAGTAGAGAAAAAATGTACATAAAAGAAAATGTTGGTATTATATTAGAATTGAAGCCTATTACAATAATTCGTACTTGTGAGTGTACTTCATTAGCACTAATGTTTCAAACAATGTTAGTTTTCCACAAATAATTACTGTTACTTTTAGATATGCATTTTAGAACATAAAAAATATATTCTAAATATAGAATGCTCCAAAATACTGTAAGTTAACTGATTTTCTAAGTACATTATAAATGTTTAAAAAATTCTATTATCTAAGCAGAGCAGGCAAACAATGAAACTAAGGTTAAATACTTATGGCCACCAAAATAAAATAACAGCATAAGGAATGTTGTAAAAAGGCTGCTCTTTCTGTTGGTTATAAATAATCCAATAACATGATATATATCGAAGAGAATTGTTGACATATTTGAAAGACAAAATGATGTGAAGAGGGCATGTCATGTGGGCTTCACATTTTTTTTTTTTTTATCTTGGAGAAACAAGAAGATTAAAAGTTCAAAATTTATGTTCTGACTTGTCAATATATATATAGTGCATGTTTCTAATTAGTTGGGCACTCGGAAAATCATATGAGGTAGAAGGAAAATCTTGGAGCACACATGCATCACATGAGAGAGAGAAATGAAGACAGAATTTTTTAATATTTTCTTTTGAAATTAAAATATTGAATTTTAGATAATATTAAAATTATAAAATAAGTTTTGATGCCAAGGTTATTGACATACCTTTATAATGAAGTTTA